TTTTTTTTTCAAATTTGATTTTTTACTTTATTTATTACCTAATTAAATTTATTTTATTTCTTATTTATTTCAGTAACCAACTCGATGTCTGACTTCTAAGACGGTTGATTATTCAACCATATTCATTGTTTACAGTTTCATTTAGTCGCTTCAGTTCCGCCACGTATGAACTCTTTCGTGACTGCAGTTCCATTTAAAATTGTTTCTTAGGAGGTTGTTGTCAACAGTTTTTAGTTAGTTTTCATGTGTAAGTAGGAGGACTACAAATCGTAGAATTTACTGGAATTTCAGATTACTTCATACAGAAAATTTACCTTTTTTATTGGTCATTTCTGTAATTTTCTTTTATCAATTCTGCAACAGTTTTTATTTGTAGTAGTTTAGCTTTTTGACTATTTTAGACTAGAGCTGCTTTGATTGTTGCTAATATTTATCCTTGAAATTCTTTTTTTTTTTAAATTAATTTAAAACAGTGATAAGTTCTGGAGCTTCCAATTGTCTGCAATAGCAAACTGTAAGTTCAAACAGTTTGGCAAACACTTTTCAACAACAATATATCTGTGGACATTAATTGAAATCTAACTGCCAGTAAAGGTAATGACAAACAAGTAGCAGATATAATTAATCTCTTAGTTCAACTTGATGAGTTTTTGCTTGCAATTGACAACCTTAGCTAAGAGTATCACAGATTTCTAAAAATTGGAAGCTATTTTCATTTTACAGGCAGTTTTATTGTTTCAAACTATGTTCTGCTGCACTGATTTCTTGCTTTCCTTTTTTGTTTAGAGAGATCGAGAATATTGAATAAAAGTCCAGAATAAAAGAGATTATCAATTAACTTCTTGCCAACTAATGGAAAGACTCCTGAAACCTTGCACCTCGTCTAATAAAAGTTTTTCTAATGTCCAACTTGGAGTGGTATTTTCTTTGTGTTGTGAATAAAAACTATACCTGTAATAATGTATTTGCACCATGCATTAATTATTCGATTAGTTAAACAGGCATACAAAAATGCATCAGTATGAAAAAAGCGTAGTGCTATGGACCTCAAAATTGCTATCAAGAGCACAAAAATTCCAAGACTACATGGAACAATACAAAATTTTTGAGAAACAAGAGGGAAAGCTGCATTTATAAATAAATACAATTAAATTAGACTGGTCACAAATGTTTGTCAAATGGCAGCATTCCGAAAAAGACTGCCAAGCTGTAGGAATTGAATGCTTTTTCCAATATATACGTGGAGCCTATCGTTTTTTGAATATCCGAGTAGGCGTTACGCCACGTCTGAGTTAGATATTTTCGTCTACAGAAGCGTGCTGATGACAACGCGGCATTCCTAAGACTGTACATTGGACAGAACATATATGGGACGTCCCGAAATTATAGCCGTTGGGATTCAGTGCACCCGAAGATCCTAAATATGCATAGTGCAGGTAGGTTATCGGCGACAAAGATCGAGTGCTCACTTGGATGCACTTCAAATGATACAGCGCCAGCCAAACACTTTTGGCACTTTTTCGATTGTCAGCCAGTCCTTACTTCCGTTGTTTTTTTCACCGCCTTTGCAGTTCTGACGACAAGGAAGATTCTGTACCTCATAAATACAGCCATATTGGATGTAAAATGTTCAAAATTGGTGTTTATTCATAGTGAATTGCCTAAAAATTTTCTGCCCAAATTACTTTCGATATCAAAATCACCGTTGTTATCCTTTTAAGCTGTGTTTATAGTAAACGAGTGGATCCTGTTATGCTGTGTCGAATTACCCTCGTTTTATTACCATCTTTCCTGAAGAGTTTTTACCTAGGTAAATTTTTAATTTCGTTTAGATGTTAAAATCGTCATGTGGTATTCTTTTGTTCTGTCGTACGTTTCGGAGATATTCATTCCCGACAACTTTCGAAAGTTAGTTGTTTTTTCTTGTTTATCACAATTGCGGAGATTTCTCTTTGTTGGCAGTTAGTAAAGTCTTCAAAGAGTAACTGGAATTGGTTTTTGTTTTGCTATTTCAACCTTGCTGTCTATTACCAAGAATTTCTTTAGTCTTTTTTTTTTTTTTTCGAGATTACTCAGCCTAACCGGTAAGCTTAGGGAAGGTCCTAAAGCCACTTTACGTCATTACTAAACAGTAATACTTACTCTTCTTGCATAACTGGAACTTTAGACGTAATATTTCCTCCTAACGGCGAATATCTACTTCCACCAATGCCACCAGAACCGACATATTCTGCCGAAAGGGGTGAAAAAAAATTTAAGACTACGAAACGTATGATTGAGGGCCGAGGAGTCGAGGAAGTCCACACTGAACTGATACATAATCAGTACGGATTGGCAGCAGTTTACGGTGGTTTCATCTCTTCTGCTGACTTCAACTTTATTCAGGTAATTCTCTAATCCTCATCATTTGAATTCAACGCTAATTTTTTAGTTATAGTTGAGCAAAGCTCAAGTTCTTCCTCTCTTTAAGGAGCTTCTTAGGAATTATTTATGAAAACTGTTAGGAGTTTGTTTGGGAAGCAAGATAAAACAAGATTACAATATGAGTGAAAGAATAAAGATGTGTAACGATTTTGTGATTTCGCTGTTATCCTGTTGACTAGAAAAAATGAATACTGGTTGAAAAGTTAGGTGAGGTCAAAATGGCAGTTCATCGTTTGAATTCCTTGTTTAATACTGCTGAACTTTTATTACTTCAAAGATCTCATTCTATAAATTTTTTTAAATTTTGTCGTCGTCCTCATTATTTCTAGATGTATGTTATTTGTCATTTTATACCATACCCAAACTATTCCTTTCAAAGTTGTAATTCCGTATATTGCAGGAACGCGTAAATAAAAACCTTCGTAAAAACCAGTTTGCACTTTGGAGGGTTCCAGCTCCTTGGTTGCCGCGAACAAAAAAATCACAAGGAACCAAACACGGGGGTGGAAAGGGGAGTATTCACATGTATTATACACCTGTAAGAGCTAAAAGAATAATTCTGGAGGTTGGAGGATACATTACAGAAATTGAGGTGAAATCAGTTAAGAATAACAATTAAACCATGCTAATTACTTGGGAAGCCTGACGGGGCTTTGCTTTTGTTCGTAATCTCAAAAAGAGCAAATTTAAAAGTGTACAAACAACGTTTTCTTTTGATATGGACGGTTTGATAATACTTTTTTCTTCTTTCAGGCCCAAGCATTCTTGTTGTATTTGTGTGAAAGATTCAAGTTCCCAGTCGAGTTTATTAGCGCTGATATTTTGGCAAAGAGGCGTGAAGAAGAGAAGAGAATAGCAGAGTTGAATACGAATCAATTTAACTGGGAAATGGTCATGAAGTATAATATGCAGAATTGTCGCAGCTGGTTAAATGAGTATGATGTAGCTTGGAAAGGGAAGTATCGGTAGTATTTTTAGTCACTGGATCCTGTTATTTTGTAACAAGTAGTATTAGTGTAGTTTAGTGTTTAAAAGATCTTTACCTCAACAGTAGTATTAAGTAAATTGTTCCTTAAAAATTGGCTGACAGAATTTTGGGTTTACTCTAGAAGAGACGATGTCATATGTGGTTCGCATATTTTTCTGTTGTATGTTATTTATTTATTGTATACTACTAAAATCTTTAGAAACTTTTAAAAGGTTGACAAAGGTCTCACTGTATAGCAGTATGAAGAAAAAGGTTGTAACGTAGTTAGGACTTGAAAAAGAATTAGTTTATCGCTTGTTATTACAAATTAATTTTTAACTATTTTTATTTTGGTTATCACTCCTAACAGTTTGTTCTTCTTTGTCGCCCGCCTGCACATACAGAGAGACCCCTAATTAGCAACGAAATTTGAAGATACGGGTAATTTTACTGAAGGAAATTAGTCTTGTTTTTACTGTTATTTTGCAATTGATCTTAACAATAAAGTGTTTACTTTCTTAAACCTTTGCTCAACTGTGTGGATTTTTCAACCATACTCTGTTTCTATGCAAATTTTTTTTAGTTTCGGTTTAAGATATATTGTTGTTCTGCTTTTACTTACATAGATTTGCTTTAGATCAAGATTTAGTAATAAAAAGTTCCACAGTCAGCAATTCTGTATTTAGTATGGTATAGGTATTTTAATTTGAATTTAACTCTTTGGCTAATTATTACGTTTGTAGAGGACGAGGAATCGCTGGTATTTTAAAATATGAGTTTTAGTTTCGTTCGATGAATGGCGGTGTCAGGTGAGGGAGTGCACCTTTCGATTCCATTTAGATGGTGTGTGTATGTTGTTGGAGGGCTACCGTTGTCAGCACTTTTCATATGTGTAAGCTTGGCTTTAATTCTTCATCCAGCCCAGTCGACAAGCACTCATTGTAACGTATATAACTGGTTACCTTCAATATCGGCTGCAGTAGCGGCGTACTCTCCTGAGCGATATGTATGGCGGTTTTTCATCGGTCTTCACGCAGCTCCCCGTTTTATTGTGGCTTTTGCATACAGGTATGGACTAAAATCGCCATTCAGTTTTCGGTAAATGGCACTCATAAGGCGCAATTGGTACACCTGCCTTTCGCTTATCTTAAGAACTTAATTTCCATTATACGCTTAATCATTTTCACTTGGTTACTTCGATGAGAACTTGGAGGTTTTAGGCATATGCTTTTACTAATTATTTCAAAAATTATTAATTATTTAACTGGTTTTTCTGCAGTCATACAGAATGGTTGGTATTCAGTTGCTCTCATAAAGAAGTATAGTGATTTTTTGACATTTAGTTCAAAGTTCCAGGAATTTACTGTTAAACTCTCCGATGCGTGAATACTGGACCACTCAGGGATGGTTCCCACTTGCCTGTAATCTTGCTTGTAGCATTAACTTGGCAGAAAATGCTTTTTTACTTCTTTTAACCTCAGTTTCATCGACAGAGGATCATTGTAAGTTCTGAAATAATTGTTACGTAATCTTCTCTAGTTTTATTTCTGACAGACCTGAGTATAATTGATCTTCAGTAGGATAAAAAATGAGACAAAAGTATTGGGAGTTGAAATAACGTTAAAATTTATTGATTAATGGTAGTGTTAGAAATTTTTTCATTTCGGTAGGAATTTATTGTTTTGTTTTTTAGCACTTCACAAGATTTCATTTCTTGGGTTCGCATTATGCGCCATGGCTTACATGTACATAGCTACCACCTTATACCATTTTTCCGGGCGTAGAAGAGCTTCTACTGTGGTATGTTTTGAATCGTTATTGATGTTTCAAACTGTGAAGAACGCTGTAGCAACTTTATTTGAACATGTAAGGTAAAAAGAAATTCTTTTAGGGTGAGAAGTCGTATCAGTACAAGTTTTTGATGTGCGTAGCTAGTACAGTCTCTCTCCTGTCAGCTTTATACTTCTTCTATCGTCACAACAAGTATTGTGAACCGGGTATCTACACGTTTTTTGCGATGTCGGAATATATCCTTGTACTTTCTAATATTGTTTTTCATTGTACTGCATTTTTTGATTTTCATGGTCAGCGTTTTACGCTTTCTTCTTCTGGTACTACATACCATTTACTACCAGTATATGAAAACAACAAGCGATCGATTTAAGTGCTTTGCTTAGTGCTTTACACATAAATTTTGTTCAAGAAAGATGTTGGTATATGTTGTTTCTTAATCTTCTCTGTACATTTGGTTCTTTTTTTTTGGGTAATTTATTAACCGCCAGAGATGTTATCGGTAGGAAATTGCAGTATGAACTTTCTGTTTACTCGTACAATAAGTTGTAAATTACATACCTTTATTGTTAATTGCGCATCTCTTTGCTCTTCTCTGTTTGTAACCTATTCTGATGTTCATTCTTTGTATCTCGCTGTTATGAAACGACAGTTTTATTAGCGGTTCATAACATTATCAGCTTTGCTGTAATAGTTGCAATAACCATCTTAGTTTAAGAGCTTTGCACTCTGCTTTTAATGTCTACTTTTCATTCTCCTGGATGTTGACACAGTTTAATTGGTGTAAAAACCGCTACATTTGTACTATACATTGTTTCAATTTCTTGTTATCCATCTCCCCCTGCGTCTGGTTATCTTCTGGCTTTGTAATTGTAGTCTAAAGTTGGTTTGTTAATTGGACTGTCTGAGGCTGTATGTCAGTCTCTCGCAATGTAGAAACCACTTTCCAGATGAAGGTATTTTTTCTTCGGGTTGGCAGTATTTAAGTTGTAAAGGTAACACAACTTCCTTTCCAGTGAAATAGCGTTGGGACTGGTGCGCATTGTCTGAGTTCAAGAAAGGCAAAAAAAATTGCATCGCTTTCTTGTTCGCAGCTGTCTCAGTGATAAGGCTGTAAAAATGCTTTTTATTTTATTCAAAGTCATTGCATGATATTTGTCGTTTGACCGATATCTTCTATCGCTTATTTGTCGCATGGACTGCAAGCTTCTTATCTATTTTTGCTTTGAAGTAGAGACGGTAGTAATACTGCTCGTTTTATTAGCCTCTGTATAACACTGAAATCGGGGTTGAGTTTTGGTGTCTCTTTTTTCCTTCAAAGTGGAGGTTGCAGTGGTCATCGAGATTACTCCGGTTCTTTGAAATTTAAGTATTTCAGGCTCTGTAAAATTTCCAGGAGTGTAAAACGAGGGTTTAGGTTTGTTGAGGTAACAAGTAGTTTTAAGATGGTATTCTTTAA